GTATGGATGTACTTTGAATGCACAAGTGTTTCTGCTTGGCTGAATCCTTTTTGACTTTAGCATAGACTTCATCAGTAGGGTACAACTCACAAATGTTATATCACAATGCTACCTTTATCTACTTACAGAGCTTATAAGACTCTTCACCCAGCCAAACAGTGTATCTGAGATCACCACACTATCTTTCCTGTGCATGGGACCTGCCTGATGTTTGATTCTGTTCCGAGTGTGCCCCCAATTCCATTTTTGTCTTTACTATGTTTAGAATCCCGTCCAGCCCCCCTGGTTCAGAGGCCCCTTTGGAGGTGACCACAGGAAAGTATAAATTTAAGGAGGTTTTGGATAGTGATGTCCCTTTAATTATGATTTTCATAGAGCACATACATGATGTGCATTGTGAGTATATACATCAAACACTATCACTTTAATTGTTTAGTTTTGACAATGCATTTTTTTCACTTGCATTTATCACTTTAATTTTGCATTATTTTCACAATGTTCTTACAACTGATTATTAAAATACACTTTAACTTATTTAGCACTTGCACTATTTAATTTGTTTGTAGGTCCCACCGATAATGGGGTACTGTAGCTTAACACGATATGGCCATATGGTGGAAGCAAATCCTCATATTTATTTACTAAGATAGATGATTTTAAGTAGGCTTATCAAATATAAAACTGTGTTTTTATGTGTGCACTGTTCCTTAATCTGTATTACGTATACATGGTTACATAGTTACATAACTGAAAAGAGACTTGTGTTCATCAAGTTCAACCTTTCTCACATATATTTTTTCAGTTGATCCAAAGGAAGGCAAAAAAAAACCCCAGTCTAAAGCAAATACAATTTTACAACAAACTAGGAAAAAATCCTTCTTGACCCCAAAATGGCAGTCAGAAATCTCCTTGGATCAAGCAGCTATTATCCCACTAATTAGAAATTATATCCCTGTATATTGTGTTTTTGCAAGTATTTATCCAATTGATGTTTAAACATCTGTATAGACTCTGATAAAACCACCTCTTCAGGCAGAGAAATCCACATTCTTATAGTTCTTACTGTAAAAAAAAAAACATTTTCTTTGCCTTAGATTAAATATTATCCCTTAATATTTTAGATATTGTCCCTTAATAACCCTTCAAAACCTTTGCCAGTCACAGAAGTTAAAGCAGCACTATCATGGCCGAATCCAGTTTTTTTTTTAACCCCCCCCTCCTGACTTCACTACATCTAATCGTCCCCCTTGACATCCCCAAATGCCCCTAAGCCCCCGATATTACCTATTTTTTAATCTTTATTTTATGCCTGGACCTAGGTCCTGTGGGACACGTCATCTGCCCACACTAGATAGCAAGGGAAATTCCTGTGCATGCCCAGTTAAACACTTGGGCATGCGAACAGGAATTTCATCTATTAATTCATTCATCAGAAAGACAAATAAATGAATAAAAATTCCAAACAAATGAATGAAGACCTGTTCATTTGTTCGTTTGGTTTATTACAAGGAGGGAGCTACCGGCGAGCAGTAATATGTAAAAATAGAAGCGACAAGGAGCAGTGCTCCCCACCACTTCCTAAGCCCCCATGTCCACCCTCACTCTATGGGGCCCTAAATTACAATATTGCCCTCCCCTCTGACCCCTACCCATGAGCAGCGGGTGGGGGCCCTAAATGAAAATTGGGAGTGGGACCTATTGTCCTATCCCCAGCCCCCACCCATGAGCGGCGGGTGGGGGCCCTAAATGAAAATGAAGGGGGTGGACCTAGTGTCTTCCCCTGGACCCCACCCCTGAATGGTGGATGAGGGCCCTAAATTACAATGAGGGGGGAGACCTATTGTTCCTCCCCCAGTCCCCACCCATGAGTGGCGGGTGGGGGCCCTAAATTAAAATGGAGGGAAGCTATTGTCCTCCCCCCGTCCCCCACCCATAGGCGGGCAGCCGTGATCGGATCGGAATTGCATTAATTCGATTTAAATTCCAATCCGAACAAAGTCCCTAATTGCGTCCTAACACGAATGGAGAAACTGTTCATAAGCACAAATAAATGCTTTATTTGCATTCATTTTCTTTAACTGCTGTATCACCTTATCTTGTGTTTTTTGCAGCAATCATTTACATATCACTTGCCATAGGATCCTCATTAATATATACTGAAGAAAAATAGTTATTTAAAATGTCTGCCTTTTCCTGGTCTTCAATAACTAACACTTCCATTTCTGTTTCCAGTGTTCCTACACATTCCTCCTTTTTTTTTTTTTTCATAATTGATGTACTTGAAAAAAATGTTGAGGTTGTTTTTTTTTTTGTCTTACTTTATCAATTTCTCATTTTCTAGTTTAGCCACTTTAATTGCCTTTTTGCACGCATTGTTGGCTTCCTTATATCTTATACAGGATACCTCTGAATTGTCCGATTTAAATGCTTTAAATGCCCTTTTCTTGTTTTTAATCTCTTGTTTTACTTTCCTACTAAGCCACATTGGTTTTAATGTGTTTCTTTTATATTTGTTACCCAATGGTATATACTGAGAAATTTACTTTTCTAATATTTGTTTAAAGATATTCCATTAATCCTCAGTGTTTGTTTTTTTCACTAAGGAGTTTATGCCAGTCAATATAGTTACATAGTCTCATCCCACTATGTTTCTGTTATGCCTATTATGTCATAATGCTTAGTGTATGCTATTGCCTCTAGTTCCCCTATTCACCTATTTTGTTATGTAGGCTCCTTGCATTAGTAAGCATATATTTAATATGATCATGAGTCACTTTGTGCAAATTTTTATTACTGTTGTATACCTCCCATGTTCTAGTCTTGCCCCTCCCCTCATCTCCACCCAGCTTATGCTGAGCTAAAGCCCATCTCCTTTATGCCCATGCTCCATTTTATAGATTTCCCCCCTACCACTAGTTTCAAATTTCCTCCAACCTTCCAGCCATCCTATCCCCCAGCAGAGCAGACCCTCTTCCATTTAGGTGCAATCCATCACGACTATACAGGTTGTACCCAAGCCCAAAATCGGGCCAGTGCTCTAAAAAAAAAAAAACCCTCCTTCCTGCACCAAGAATTCAGCCATGCTTTGGCCTCTCAAATTTCCAGCTGCCTTTCTACTGTAGCATGCGGCACCTTTTCTTTAGCTTACTTCCTAGTTCCCTGAACTCATTCTTTTGGACCTTCCATTTTCCTCTGACTTTGTTATTGGTACCAATATGGACCATGATAGCCTCTCCCAATAATCCATCCACTCTGTACGCAACATGCCAGACCCGAGCACCTGGGAGACAGCAAACTGTCCAGTAAAGACGAAAAGAGCAGCATATTACCCTACTTACTCTCTAATTATTAGAGTCCCCTTCCACCACAACCTGTCTACAGGGCCGGACTGGGGATTCCAAAGCAGCCCTGGAAAAAAAAATCTATGCCAGCCCCATAAGTCATTGCGCCATATATTGTCGCATGTAATATGTAAGGCTATGTCTTGCAACCCTAGATGATTGAGATATATATATATAAAAAAACTGATCTTGCATTCCACCAATTCAATATTCAATGCCCGGTGCTTGTCAGCCAAAAATGCAAAAAATATTGCCAGAGATAGCACTCCAAGGACTAATATAAAATATAACTTTTATAACCTCCACTAAAACAACACAAGGTCAACGTTTCAGCTTGATCCCCTCAAGCTTTCGTCAGGACATCTCCTGACGAAAGCTTGAGGGGATCAAGCTGAAACGTTGACCTTGTGTTGTTTTAGTGGAGGTAATAAAAGTTATATTTTATATTAGTCCTTGGAGTGCTATCTCTGGCATTTTATATATATATATATATATATATATATATATATATAGCTTTTTCCAATATAAAATATTGGTCCTTTCAGAGTAAAATTTTTAATTATACAGTAAGCATACTCACATGCATACACAGACAATCTCACTGACACAAGCTGATACACAGCCTCATACATAAGGTTATTGACATAAAAACACAAGCTCACTCAGTAGCAGGCACACACACACACACACACACACACAAGGAAGCGTGCGCACACATACACAGCTTAATGTAGTGGTACTGGTGTCTATAGCCTGTCCCTGCAGGCTTTTCAATGTAAACAATGACTTTTAAGAGAAAAGGCAGTGTTTACATTGATAAATAGTGACAGACACTCAGACGGTCACTAGAAGTGCTTCCTGTGTCAGTGCGGATTGGCTGAGATCATCAAGCTTGATGATCTCAGCCGTAGAGGCAGGGCCAGGCGAGGGGAGACCAGCATGACGTGGGGAAGAAAGAAAAAAAAGGTGAGTAAAAACACACATACACACACACATACCATGACAGACACACACCATGACACAGACAGACCGTGACACAGACAGAAACACACACACACCATGACAGACAGACACACCATGACACAGACAGACACACACACCTTAAAAAAGACACACACACCTTGACACACACACACACCATAACACAGACAGACCGTGACACACAGACACACACACCACGACACAGAGAGACCGTGACACAGACACACACACACACACCGTGACAGACAGACACACATTACATGACACAGACAAACACACACACCATGACACACACAGACCGTGACACAGACAGACACACATTACATGACAGACACACACACACACACCATGACATAGACACACATTGCATGACACAGACAGACGCACACACCATGACAGACAGTGACACACACAATTACACAGACACACACACACCATGACAGACAGTGACACACACCATGACTAAGAGACACAAACAATGACACAGACACACATTGCTGACACAGACAGACACTCACACACCATGACACAGACAGACACTCACACAAATGACACAGACACACACACACAAATGACACAGACACACACACACACACAATTTCTACCTGTGGGGAGCTCTTCTGGCGGCCGCAGAGGGAGCTCCTTTGGCGGCCGCAGGGTTTGCTGGCTGTGCTTGCGGCCGCAGGGGGAGATGGCTGTTGTGTCTCTGCTCCCCCTCACTCACGCGCCGCACAGTGAGGCTAGGAGCCGGAATATGACGTCTCTTTAAGCGGCGCGCAGGGGAGGGGGAGCAGAGACACAACAGCTAGCTCCCCCTGCGGCCGCAAGCACAGCCAGCAAACCCTGCGGCCGCCAAAGGAGCTCCCTCTGCGGCCGCAGGTGAGCCAGCTGGCTGCCCGGCCCCAGGTGCCGACGGCCCACCGGGAAATTTTCCGGTATCCCGGTGGGCCAGTCCGGCCCTGCCTGTCTAGCCTTCCTTACACTCTCAACCCCACCCATATTAGAGGGGCTGTTCCCACGGCTGTTAGAAAGAACAGCTTCCTGCAGTACAGCTACTCCTGAGCTGATGCTCCCGACATCTTCACTCAAACGGGCAAATCTGTTAGGCTACACAAGATCAGGGACTAGCTAAACCTTTCCTTTTCTCTCCCACCTTGCTTGCTCGCCCCACTGTATACATTTTGGTCACTGCGGCAGCATCATTCCTGCGAAATGCTTTTTCTGGGTGTGTCTGCAATTCCCTTTTATTCTTTACTGACATTGGATTCTGGACCACCTAAGTGGGTGGGATCAATCTGACATGAAAATGCTCAATTTTCTCTGTGTAACAAGAAACCTGAGCAAAACGTTTTAAAGTCTTAATAGTCTCTAACCGTGTGGCAAGCTGTTAAAAACTTTTGTTCATTTAAAAAGAAAATCTTTATTTTGTCATGTTGCTTGTGATTAAAACAACACACCACAATACTCTTTGTTTGAATGCGGTAACAGAATAAAAAACAGGCAGTATAGTGTCAAACTGTGTACTGCAGGCAGCATGAGTTTTTTTTTTTTAAGAGAAAAGAGTACCTACGTAATCTAGACACATTTACCAACTAGTTTTCCTCTGGTGGGCACAACGATGCGTCAAAGGCCTGTATCGGCTACCGAGTTGTGCTAATCCCATATAGGAGATTACCCCCTCGCCAGTGGACTATTCAGTGATCTATGTGTGGCAACTAGGATGTTGGCGAGCAGGGGGGTGGGGGGAGGTTGAAGAAAACTGCTATGCAGCCTCTTGGTGACGAGTATGTGGAGCTTATATATGGTATAAAGAGTAGCTTACTATCTCCTGGAGTATGAACCACAGTCATCTCCTGGATAGTAGTGGCATAAGTTGTGGTCTTTAAACAAATAAAAGGTAAGATAATAACAAATAAAACATTACATAGCACAACATTAACTTTTTCCTATGGTTTGAACGAGTAGTGATGGTAAAAAAAGAGGAGTACAATATATAGTTGAGTAACTCAATATTTCTGGACTCAGGCCCTCAGGTCGGCTTGGCCATCAGGGCTCGTTGTCATGCTCGTGGTGTTAATTCCTGTATGGTAGCTGGGTTAAGTTGGGACAGGCCCACTCTAGTCGGTATCGGAGGTACCAGGATACCTGCGGCGTGAAGTCACGACTCCAGTTCTGGAGGGTTCTGTGCTCGATACACAGTTCCTTCATGTGTGAAAAGGAGTGCTCTTGGGGTACCCCATCTGTATGTAATCCCTCTTGTGCGCAGGAGCTGCAGTTGCAGTTGTTGAGCCTTTTGCCATATGAGGGTGCTCTGGGATCTGGGAACACAGACAGAGAGGAGCCCTCAAACTTTAGAGGGGTTTTTCCTCGAAGGGCTGAGAGTATCAGGGCCCTGTCCTGGAGCGCTTGGAAGCGGATAATGAGGTCAGCTGATGCCAACGCCCGTGCCTTTGCCGGCTTTGGGACCCGGAACATGCCGTCCAGCCTCAGAGATTTTGCCTGTTTAGGCAGCATCAGGGCTGTGAATAGGCACTTAATGAAGTGGGGTAAGTCAGCTAGGCTTACTGACTCGGGGACACTTCGCACCTTTAGGTTGTACCTCCGTCACTGGTCCTCTAGTGCATCTAGCCTGTCAGCGGTAACAATGCACTGTTGCTGGAGGTGTGCCACCTGTTGTTCCACCACCACTACTCTGGTGTTGAGGGTGCTTGAGGAGGCCTCCAGCAGCGTTATCCTGGAGGTGGCAGTCTCTATGGCACCCTTGTAGTAGGCCATGTCAGCTGCAATGTTCTTGCGCAACTCAGCCAACATTAGTTGTAGCAGGTCTGCTGTGATAGGATCTCCTGCTTTCACAGAGTCAGCTTTGTGCTGCTGTTGTGGTTTAGGCGATGCCCCTTCACCCGGGTCGATAGTAAACTCCTCCGAGGAATATGAGGAAAGGTCGTCAAGCAGCTCCATCTTGCTCCATGCCCCGTTGCCTGGTGGATGCTCCGCAGCAGATCTCCTATGTGTCTACTAGATGGCCCTTTTTCAGTTTTCAATTTTTTGGATCTCCTATGTGTCTACTGGATGGCTTTTTTCAGTTTTCGATTTGTTCTCCTGCAATGACTGGTGTAGGTTGTGTGTCCAAATCTGAGCACAATTTCCACCATAATACTTTTTATCGATGTATGCATGGAGCATAAAGAAATGTGTCCTCCAAACTTTTGACCATTTTTAATATTCAATACCTACTATTAGGAGATATGCAACCAAGGTAGTTTGCCAGTGAAGTGGCTTACATCATCGTCAATTCTGAGAGGGATGAGGTTTGTCTAAAAAAGGGCTTCACGGGCACAGACAACTGTTAAAGCACTGTGCCCATGGGCTGAAAGTGTCTAATTATATGCTTGCACTGTACTTTAGGAGTAGTTCGTATCTGGTTTCCCTTAAATATGAGACTATCCCTCCAAACTGAGGAGTGTTCAGAGGTATGATATAATTTTCTAATCAGATCTGTTGAAGCCATATATCATATAATTGTGTCAACTGTTTGCATTAGTTGTTTCGAAACTTTAGTTCCAAGTAGTAGATGGTTTGACTATTTATTCAACAGACAAAACAGTTAAATCATTATTAATGAGCAGTGCAGTTCGGCATAATGTTGTGTATATTTCTCACGATATGCATGAGATGCAGTTCACACATTAATTAAAGTTTTGTGATCATGCACACAATCTGGACTCTATTAAGATACATTAAAATTGATAGTGTTTTCAGGCAGACTGGAGACCAAACAAAAGCCGTTTTAGACTGTAACAAACCAAGAACATGACAGCTGGAGATTTGTAAATAAAACAATAATTGTTGTTTTAGAACTGGAACATTTGTGTATAAAGTATCCAACAGTCCTGTTTGATCCCAATCTGGACAGTGCCATTTAAATTCTGACAGTTTTCCAGTATAATTCCCTTCAGTAACATTGGTGATAAATGGTTATTATTATTATTGGCATCGATATAGCACCAACGTATTCCACAATAGGTTGATGAGGACCCTGCCCAAACAAGTTTAAAATCTAGAGGTGAGTTATAAAAACACAATAGGATGGCATCTAAACCAAATTAATGGACTAAGTAATTAAGATGAAAAAGCAATGTTACACTGGGAGTCTATAAGCTATTCTAAAGAGTTTTTTTTTTTAGAGATTTTTTAAAGGATTGGAAATTAGGGGAGAGACTTATGGGGGAGGCAGGCTGTTCAATATTAATGGAGCTCCCCGTGAGAAGTTCTGTAAGCGCTAGTTAGCAGTATGGGCATGGTCAGCGGACAAAAAATGTCACCGGCAGAGCGGCTGAGGAGGGGTAAACCAATGAATTAATGAAGAAATATGGTAGGGCTGAATCGTTGAAAACTTTGTAGGTAAGAGTTACTATTTGAGGTAGTAGTTACTACTACAGGATTCAATTAAAAATAGTAACTCTTACCTACATGAAGCAAATGTAATGATTGACATAAGTGTGCTATATGAGAGGAGCTACAGGAGATAAAAAATAAGCCTGGTAGCTGGAGTCATCATGGACTGTAGGGACACAGTGTGGTTTCTGGAGAGACCAGTTTAGGAGAGAATTACAGATGCAGTCAATGTTTTAAAGGTGGAATTGGCAGGATTTGGTGACACACTAGATATGATGTGCAACAATGAGACCGGAATCAGAGATAACACCAAGGCACTGAGCTTGCAAAGACGGGTTTTTGTGCATGGCACCAACTTGCATGGGAGAGCAATGGAGGAGGATTATTATTATAGTGAGGGAAGATAAGAAACTCGGTTTTAGACAGATTGAGTTTTAGAAAGCAGGAGCATATCCACTCGGAGATGAAAGAGAAACAACTGGAGAGTTGTTCTAGGACAGCAGGAGAGAGATCATAGGAGAAGAGGTATATATGAGTGTCATCGATATGCAGGTGTTAGCAGAATCCAAATGAATTGATATGTTTGCCAAGAGAGGCAATATCTCTGCCAACGTTCGTTCAGTGTCTCCTTTTGCAATGACATCTCCACCTTTTGTCCTATCTTGGTTGGAGTCTCCCAAGGATCTGTTCTTGGTCCCCTTCTGTTCTCTCTTTATACTGCCTCACTTGGCAAACCAATTAACTCTTTTGGATTCCGCTACCATCTGAATGCTGACGACACCCAAATATATCTCTCCTCCCCTGATCTCTCCCCCAGGGTCCTACAATGTGTCACTGCTTGCCTTTCCTCAATCTGTGATTGGATGTCTTTCTGAAACTCAGTCTCTCTAAAATTGAGCTTCTTATTTTTCCTCCTCATAATGCTGATCTTCCTCCTTTGCTTTCCCTGGTTAATGGTACTTGCATCAGTTTGTCCTTGCAAGCTCATGTCTTGGTGTTACCTTTGATCCTCACCTCACCTTTGCGCTCATATCCAAAATCCTGTCGATTTCACCTTAAAAACATTGCACGCATCCTCCACTTTCTTACGCAAGATACTGCGAAGGAGCTTGTTCATGCTCTTGTAATCTCTCTCATGTATTACTGTAATTCTCTCCTAGTTGATCTCCCCAGAAGCCGAACAGCCCCGCTACAATATGTAATGAATGCTGCCGCCAGGCTGATCTTTTTCACCTATTGCTTCTCCCATACCTCGCTCCCCTGTCGATCCTTATACTGGCTTATTGTATCGTATAGGTGTCAATTCAAAATACTGGATGTTACCTATAAAGCTTTAAACAATTCTAGACCCTGTTACATTTCTTCACTGATTCATAGATATGCCCCTTCTCGGTCTCTCCACTCTGCCGGTGACCTTCTTCTGACCGCTGCTTGCACCCTTACTTTTAACTTGCGGTTACAGGACTTCTTGCGGGCTGCTCCCTTCCTTTGGAACAGCCTGCCTAACCCCATCAAACTCTCCCTCAGTCTTCAATTGTTTAAGAAGTCCCTCAAAACACATCTGTTCAGAAATGCTTAAGGACTCCCAGAGTTACTTATCTATACTTATCCATATCTGTCTCTTGCTCTCCTAAAGAGCCATACTCCACTCTCACCTCCGGTTCTGCTACTTTTCCACCTTGTTTGGTGGCTGTAACCCTTGCTGCCCAGTTGTGTTTTTGTACCCCACCTCCTCTCGCCTATAAGCTTGTTTGAGCAGGGCCTTCATCTACCTATTGTTCCTGTGTAATTGCCCCATTTGTTGTAAATCTCCCTCCCTTTTATAATATTGTAACACTCTGTGGAATTAGTTATCACTATATAAATACCAATAATAATAATAAAACCGAAGGGCACCAAGGACAGAACCTTGATGGACTCCAGCTGAGACAGTATGAATAGATGAGGAATTATCAGGTGGGGGGATGGGGAAGGGGAAATAAAGCCTAAAAGGACACTGAATACATTCTTCTAGATTTTGTCTTTTGCCCCCTTTATGGGCTTGGGTTTATCCATATTATATATTTTTATTTTTTCCTTGCGAAGCCCACTTCCACGGCAAAGGCCTGGTTATGTAACCATGTTGTCCACTGTATTAATAAACCCAAACTTTTAATAATTAAAGCCTACGCTGGTTTCCATTCCTCTGCCGATGCCTCAGCTACCTGCTTCTGATCTAATAAAATGCTTCTTAATAAAGAGAAGCAGGGAGAGAAATCAAGGCTTCCCCTTGCAAACATAACTGTAAGGGAAAAGCTCATTACGTCAGTTGTCAGCGCGCACAAGGAAGAAATCAAACAACATTTTCTCCTTTTCATTTGCCTTTTTTGTCCTGGCTTTGCCACAAAGGAGATTTTTTATTTTTATTTAATTGAAGTAAATTAGAGAGAAGGGACAATTCCATACAAAAAAAAAAAAAATTACTAAATTAGTCTGAAAAATTCTCTAGTTCAACAGAATTTGGACTTTTTCCAGCTGTGCTATCTTGGCCTATATTTTGCAAGTTTATTTTTACCGCTGTTTAGTGAATAAACCTCCTGGTTTATTGTTTCTGCTTTACATTTTGCAGTTATTCACTGAGAAATATATTTGCAGAGTGAAGCAGAGAACATTTGTCTTAGCCATAAAGAAAATCAATAATAACAGTGTTCTAGAAACCTGCATGAAACATGCTGATACGTTAGACACAAGTGAAGAAAGGGTTACAATAATTACTCTATTGATCGTTTGAACAGTGTGAACCAATCTGTTCTTTTCTTTACAAGTTATTGTGTATTTTACATAACATTTCCTTCTGGTGGTATTTTTTTTAAGAAATAAAAGAGCAAGAACAGAGGGGCATGTGCAGTATTCAGAAACATCCCCATCCTTAAAGACAAAACCCACCTATTGAAAATGTGATACGATCATTTGCTTTACAAATATATTCCATTGTAGTGAATCATAATCAAGGGGATCATTATCATATAACTGAATCCTGAGGAGGTAGAAATCAGGTTTATTCACTGAAATGAGAATTGTCGGGATATTAGCATGAATTCAAAGTGAATTTCAAAGTTATAATCAAAATAGCCAAACTACTTTGCATCCTGTTCAACTATGTTGGTGCAAAATTTTAAATTCACTTTACATTTCTGACAATTCTCACTTCAGTGAATAACCCTGCAGGTTGGTAAAATATAAGAAATCTCAAGCTGTATTACTCTCTGGCTAAATGAGATAATTTATATCTTTGAAATATCGTCGATTTCGGCACACCTCAACCGACTTTTTGTTTTTATCGAACTACATTCTTTTAATTATACATCCTATTATTACCCCGTACACAAAAATATATATATATATGAACGGGATAATAGTAGGATGTATAATTAAAAGAATGTAGTTTGATAAGAACAAAAAGTCGGTTGAGATGTGCCAAAATCGACAAGAGGTTAGACCTGCAATAAAGAGGGCCCACCTGAGTATATATGAATATTAAAGCGTGAGGAGGAAGGGGAACTTCCAAAAACGGTGACGGCAGGTAAGTAGGTGTTACTGGGTGTTTAAATAGGACAAATAATCCTATCCACAATTTCAGGCATATGCCTTGAACTTGTGTACGGGATAATAATAGGACGTATAATTAAAAGAATGTAATTCGATAAGAACAAAAAGTCAGTTGAGGTGTGCTGAAACCGACGAGAGGTTAGACCTGCAATAAAGAGGGTAAAAATAATGCAAACAGTTTTATTTATAATTCACAAGTAACAAATTATTTAGACATATTATAGAAAGCAAGTCTGATTTCCTTCTCTGGGTTTGGAATGTACCTGTTGTATGCAGAAGATTTCCAGCATCCCATATTCTTAACGATATATGTTGGAACATGATTACTAGAAGCTGCTGTGGCAGCCCCAATTCGTAATGAATGACCTGAGAAGGAAGCTGTATTGAGACCTAGTCTGAGTAAAAGTGCGTATGTACAGCATCAATTGCTTGGTGGTAAGAGGTTTCCCTTGTAGAGATAATGGTGGATTATCAGGGTTTTTTATTTATCTGATTTTTAATTAGGTTGTCCAATGCTTGTACTGGACACCATTTTGAAAAGGTAGGATAATATATCATTTCTACAGTGGGCCTGTCTAGCTAGTTTTAGTAAGAGGGATCGACAGTATATAATAGTTGTTTATTTTTTTTCTTAAGGCATGACTCAAAGTCGGATGATTTTTCCACAGAAAATCCTTTGGGTCTCAAGAAACCGTAAAATGCTAAATATGTGGCTGACTTGATTACCAGATTTGTGGGGTCGTCGAAAGGTCTTTTGTCTATTAATTCAGACTTATATATATATCAATACATTATTAAAAATACATCTGTACACCAGTCAAGCCATAAGACTTGCTTTTCCCTTGGAAATCTCAAATTTGCAGTGATGTTACTATTACAAAGGATTCTTGGTGGGCATGTGCAAATTAGTTCAACAAAGAATCAAATTTTTGCCTCATTATTCGATTGTAAACATGGATTCCTTGGAGTTTGTTTCTGCTGTATACAAGAGCTTTGAAACACAACTCAGGAAGAGATGCAAAGCCCGAAAACTACTCATGGACAGCTGTTTCGTTGTTAATGCAACTTATCAGATTGGTTACTGGCTTGGTACTGAGGCTTGGTGTTATGAAACAGCTGTCCATGACTGGTTCACTGGCTTTACATCTTTTCCTGAGATTAGTCAGGGAAGCCCAGGGGTGTCAAGGAGAGGGGATCATTTTTGACCTAGAGCTGTATGTCAGTTATAGTGATGTCCCGAACGTTTCGCCGAACGGTTCGCCACGAACGGTTCGCCACGGACTCATCATTGAGTAAACTTTGACCCTGTACCTCACAGTCAGCAGACACATTCCAGCCAATCAGCAGCAGACCCTCCCTCCCAGACCCTCCCACCTCCTGGACAGCTCACTAAGAATGCAGCTTCAAAATGGATGCTGTCCAGGAGGTGGGAGGGTCTGGAGGGAGGGTCTGCTGCTTATTGGCTGGAATGTGTCTGCTGACTGTGAGGTACAGGGTCAAAGTTTACTCAATGATGAGTCCGTGGCAAACCGTCCGTGGCGAACCGTTCGCGAACCGTTCGGCGACACGTTCGGGACATCACTAGTCACTAATAATTTTAATAACTCCTACTGCACATACCCACCATCTTCTTTAACATACTCAGTTACTCTACAGCTGAGACCTGAGACACTCATGATGTGACTAGTTAAAGTTGTGAAGCTTCAACTTGAAAGACTGGGGCTATGACTCTGAGGACTGATCTGATCCCGATTTCAATCTGTTTTAATTTGTAATGATTGTTGATTCTGTTAACCATATCAGCTACTTCTTTGCTCCATATTAACACTGCAGATTTATTATATTACCAGCTGCAAAGGTAATAAGGAATCTATCAGTATTGTAATGCTATCCATGTGTACACTGTGTGCCGAGAGCTAATAGAAAGTCAGGAGTTGATGAAATGGTTGGAGAATGTCAGAATCATGATGTTTTAACTATGTACACACTATGTAGAGGTACCTTTTTATTGCACCCGGGTCTGTTTATTTTATATCTATTTTTTAAAATTTGTTTTATTGAATGGGCATCTCTGTATTATGCTCAGCTCTCTCTATTTTATAAGTATATCAGTAGTGTTTAACAAGAAGTAAAATTCTGGTGCCCCACCATCTTAAATCTTCCCCAGCCATCACTGTATATAAATACATACTCATAATTATTATTTTAAATTCCAAGACTATACATATATTCAACACAATATGCATGTGTTTATGGTTAGTCTAAAGTTATATTTATTCATTCAAGAGCTTTACTTAATGAGGGCGGCTAGAAGGAAATTATTAATTAGAGCCTGTAAGAAGCATGACTTCTAATTAGTGATTCTTGAAAAGTTTGGATGTGGTCACATTATTGTTACTTTGGATTTAGTCTATTTATATATATATTTATTGTCTTTCTCAATACTGTTTCATGTGAAAGTTTTCCATTGTGCTACTATGAGAATGGCTGTTATATAAATAAAACCCAGCCGAGAGCTAGAATGACTTTGAGTTGATATTTGTTAAACCTGCTCTGCGTGTCGAACGTCATGCAGCGGTGCTGGGCGCTCTCTTCCAATCCAGCAATCCCCATACCGGATGCGATAGCATCAGATGCTGTTCTGACATTGGCAATAACATGCTTCTTCTTTTATTCTAGCCACGGCCCGCTTCTTGTGTGGGTGTCCTGCCAATGCTCTTTGTTCACACGTAGGCTAGGTTCATTTTGGCATAAAACATAACAACCAATCAGAAGCCACCAGAGCCTATATTAAGCCCTTGTGACCTCGCCTCATTGCCCTGTTGTGGTTATTGTTAGCCCGAGAGTGCTTTCCTGTATCCTTGGTATTTCTGGTAACAGAATTGGCTTTGTTTAAGTGTTTATTCTGTATTCCAGTATCCCTGCCCCTTTTTGTTATCCTCGTATATCCATCTGTCTACAACCCTGACTTGTGCCTGTATCTGATTTTTTTTTTTTTATCCTATACCATATATTTATTTTGGTTAAGTTGGCCACTCTATGGCTTTATTGTATATAGGGTTAAACTTGCCTCATTATTGTCCTTGACAATAATAATACTTTTGTCAATGAGTAAGGATTGTACTTATTTTCATTCATTTCATTTATAGCTGATACATTTAAACATAAAGCATAAGATAGTTGCAAAATATAGATATTCTCCGAGTGTGAGCTGAACTGCATGTTCTTGATCACAAATTGTGCCTTCTTGGAAGTGCAACTTATTCATACTAATGTGTTTTAGAGAAAGTAATTTCAGACAATGAAATTATTAAAGCACAAGGAAATATCCCTGGAGACCTTGAGTCTCCTCTGGAACAGAAATTATTATCCATTTAAACACAGCTGTTACGCTGTTTCGCCCTAAACCCTACAGTTTCATTTGTGCTTCACACTCCATAATCGATAAATAGCTAAATGTGCAGGTGGGCGGATTTGGGAAAACATCTTGAAGATATTCAACTGAATGTCTGAGACTTTGGTAACAAATTAACTTTACAAACTGTTAGTGAAAAAAGGAAAAACAACTAAGTTAAAGTAAATATAAAAAGCATTATATCGCAGTTGCTGGCTATGTAATGTCCAGGAGCAGAAACTACTTAATAATTTCTAAGTTTCCCAGAGTTGGTTGAAGGACATAGCTATAATTTGATCTCAGTCTTCGAGATATTTTAATTAAACACATGAAAAGCAAAATACATATCATTCTAAAGGGTCATTGCAGGGTTATTATGACATCTTTCATATTCAATAAAATAAACCTTTTCTAGATTTCTTGTCATCTAACATATATTGCTGATATGATTTTGTCTTTTTGATTCACATGTAGTTTCCATGTTTTTCATGCTGCCTAAAAGAAAAACTCTGGGCACCAAATTAACTTAAAGGGACACTATAGTCACCTGAACAACTTCAGCTCAATTAGGTTGTTCAGGTGAGAACTATAGCTCCCTGCAGCCTCTCATGTAAACACTGTATTTTCTGAGAAAACACAGTGTTTACATTGAAAGCTAGGGACACCTCCAGTTGCAGTCACTCAGAGTGAACCAGAGGGACTTCGGAGTTGATGGAGGCATAATATGCCTCCATCCACTCAGATCTGCTGTGCAAGAGCATCCTGAAGCCCATGGAGCAACACAGGGGGGGAGTGGGCCTTGACAGGGCCAGAGAGTGGGCAGGTGAAGTTAAGGTCAAGGGGTGTGGAAAGTTAATACTGGGTATGGGGGGGAGGAGAGTAAGGTTTTAAATAACGGCCATTTTGGTGAAGTGGCCTTTTTAATCAAAATCACACTTACTTGATACTTGTCCCTCCAACCCTCCCTTTTTATGGGTATTTTGTTCTGTTTGGTTTGAGGCAGCTTCCCGATTGGTCACAGCGGCGGGAATAGGGCGTGGGTTAAAGAGGATTTAGGTGGAATAGGAAGTGGGCAGGCTAAGGTCTAGGCTGGACTATGCCGGAGTGGAAAATGGTTGGTAGGTTCTAGCTCGTTGGTGGCTACGAATCTGGGGGTGTAGGGGTGTCTGGGTACACCCCTACAGTTAAACATATGGTTATGGGGCCTCTTTGGTAGGCCATGGGTTAAACGTTACGCATTATTGGAATGTTTTATTAATGTTATTTGGTAGGGTCATTGTCGGGGTTATTGGGCAAGAAGGTCGGACGTAATTAATACTTGTGACAATGACCCTAAATTGTTAAATTGTTGAATTATAAAATTTTAATAAAGCTGTGGACTTTATACTCCAACAGAAATTGTGTCCCGGATTTATTTTATTATGGGTTTAGCACATGCCGAATAACGACTGTGCACATGTCATGTGATTCAGTATCTCCTCCCACTGCATGCAGACACTGAACTTTCCTTATAGAGATTCATTGATGCAATTCATCTCTATGAGGAGATGCTGATTTGCCAGGGCTGTGTTTGAATCATGCTGGCTCTGCCCCTGATCTGCCTCCTTGCCAGTCTCAGCCAATCCTATGGGGAAGCATTGTGATTGGATCAGGCTATCACATGTCAGCAGACTGCTTGTTTTTCCTGAGTCTCAGAATGCAGATTTACAGCTTCTGGCTTGAATACAGTAAGATTTTTACTATATTTATGGAGGCATGAGGGGCCCAGGGGGGCTAGTTGGTGGTGTTAACACTATAGGGTCAGGAATACATGTAGTTGCACTTTTGACTATAGTGTCCCTTTAATCTCAATGAAATTGCTCTGGTGTTTGGAGGACCTGGTTAAGGGGTTAAATAATGGTTCCACCTTAAGTAGTCTAAATAATGGATCTACCTTAAGCGCCCTTTTACTACGCCTCTGGCTTCAATGAAGAAGCTTCGGAATGTGCGCCAGTGATAGGCTTAAAGCATCATAGTTACATAGTTACATAGCTGAAAAGAGACCTCTGTCCATCAAGTTCCGCTTTCCTCACATATGTTTTTGCTGTTGATCCAAAAGACTGCAAAAGACCCAGTCTGAACCTCTTCCAATTTTGCAATAAGCTGGGAAAAAAATCCTTCTTGACCCCAAAATGGCAGTCAGATATCTCCTTGGATCAAGCAGCTATTACCCGACTAATTAAAAATGATATCTCTGTATGTTAAGTATTTATCCAATTGCTGTTTATACATTTGTAAGGACTCCGTTAAAACCACCTCTTCAGGCAGAGAATTCTACATCCTTTTAGTTCTTACTGTAAAAACACACTTTTTCTTTACCTTAGATTTAATCTCTTTTCTCCCAGCCTAAATGCATGACCTTGTGTGCTATGTATAGTACTGTTTATGAATAGATTTCCAGATAATGGTTTGTACTGGCCCTGAATATGTTTGTATAATGTTATCATATCCACTCTGAGGCGCCATTTTTCCAAACTAAAGAGATTTACATTTTTTAACCTTTCTTCATAACTAAAATGCTCCATTACTTTTATAAATTTTTTAGCTCATCTCTGCACTTTTTCTAGTACCAAGATATCCTTCTTTTGAACAGGTGCCCAAAATTGCACAACATATTCAAGATGTGGTTTTACCAGCGGTTTATAAAAAGGCAAAGTTATATTTTCACCCCGAGAATTTATGCCCCTATTTATACATGACAAAACCTTACTGGCCTTAGCAAGTGCCAGTTGACATTGCATATTCCTGTTGATGCTTTCCATGGCTTCCCATTTAGAAAAATGCATGAGAAAGGTATGTACCTACACCATACACTATACATGTACTGGTAGTGATACAACTTAATTAAATCTTTAGTTAAATAGTTGGATTTAACATAAGGTTTTAATTAATTTGTAGCACTACAAATGTATAGTGTATGTTCTTATTTAAGACACCTTAACCTCATAATGCCGTTACAGCATTCTTTGCAATCCTCATTTAAATGGGCTTTAAAGTCATTGTGGTGGCATAGAACACATAACGGTTTTCAGCCCCAGGAGGCAG